TTTATATGTATAATAATTATTATTTATTTAATGGTCTTAAATTTGTATTCTTTTTAAAATATTTTTTTTATATGGGGGGAAAAGGAAGGATAATGGGGAATTGTGAAAAACATCATCTCGCATGTGATAATTTTATAATATTGCACTAGATTCATATAAGTTTTATCTCAAATGAAAGTCTTTAAAAACTTTTTGAACTTTTACAAAAGTCTCTAAAAGTTTTAAAATGAAAGTTTATAAAAGTTTACAAAAGATTTCCACTAATTCAATACAAATCTATAAAAAAATTCATGAAATCCACATAAGTCATCACTTTAAAAAAATCCATCAAAGTCTTCAAAAGTCGCAATTGAATATACCCTCCTAAGATTAAAAACTCTCTAAACAAACTAGGGGTGGGCATTTTTACCCAGAATTGGCGAAATCGAACCGAACCAAATGGAACCTTTCGGTTCGGCTCCAGTTCCTCTACTAAATGGATTGGCTTTGGGACCATATATCGAGAACCGATCGGCTCCGATAGGATTCTTGGTATCATCTTAAGAACCAACTGTGAATTTAGTTCTTCCAAATTTTTCTTTTTACTTGAGCTAGATGTGCTACATTTTTAAACACTGATCCCAAAATTTTCTCGTGTTAAAATTCCATTTCCCAAATGCTTCTTCTTCTTTCTTTTAATGGGTAATCGAAATTTAACTCTAAATAATTTTATAAATTTATAGTTTTAACTGCAACACCAAAGGAAATATATATTTTAGTTCAATATTTAATAAGAATTCAAATTTATCATTGTTTTCAAAGTAGTCGACCATAAAAAATCACGATCCTTAAAAATTACTAAAATAATGAGGCTATTATTATATGAATTTTCTTAACAAATAATTTTCGATCGAGATTTTACCGCTTATGTTGTGTTAAATAATTTATCATTTTTTGGCTTTTAAAAGTTGATCTTGAGTTTTTGAGTGAATTTTTGGTTGTTGCCTTGTTTAATAGATTTTTTTAATATTGTTAAATTACAAGAATGACAAGTGGTTTACTCTATTTTTAATATGACAAGTAATTTCATACTTTATTATTATAATCTTTTTCAATAAAAAGAATCAGGCCGAATCAAATCGGAACTAATTGGTTCGGTTCTGTAATTGAATATGGAACCAATGGTTCCATTTCTAAAATTCTTATTGGTATTTGATTCGTTTCGATTCCCTTCATAACCGATTCGAATCAGACCGTGCCCACTCCTAGAACAAACTAAAATCTTACCAGGCTTTTCTTGTCTATTTAACTAAATTTACATAAAATAAAAAATGTAATATATATAATTCTTTTTAAAATTGATAGATATATAAGAATAGTCGATGAAAATAGCCATTCCTTATTTCATTTATACCATTTTGAAGACCCACATAAACTTTAGTTTAGTTGATAATCAAACAATCTATTTATTTGTATCGAGATTTGGTACTACAAATGACATTGTCTATCAACATAAGTTGTATTTTCTCATATACAATCATTATATTTATAAAAACTAAGTGCATGTTCTCTTTGTTGTTTTTAGATCATTTTTTTTTTTTTTTAGTTTTCGAAAATACTAAAAACACGTTTACTTACCTATTTTCAGAAATAAATTTCCAAAAACGAGTTTAAAATTTACAAAGAAAACGGAAAACTCCAAAAAAATTGTTTTTCCTGTTTTTAGTTAAAACCAAGCAAAAACTTTATTTTTTTATTTTTGAAAATATTTTTTCAAAATGACAAAAAGAACGCGTTTTCAGTAATCTCAAAATGGATACTCAAAATACAAAACCCAAAATGAATTCAAAACTCAAAATTAAAACACGAAGAGAACGGGCCATAAGTTTTCAAATATTGTAATTAGCACACGTTTAATTTTTTTTTGCAATTTCCACTACTCAACTCAACATTCTAACAGTGTCTCAGTCTCCTTGATGTGATATCGACCCTTACCTTGATGACAATGTTTATCAACATAAGTTATATGTTCTCAAATACAATCGTTATATTTATCAAAATTAAGGATGTGTTTGGTTTAATGTTTTCAATTTTGCGATACGCAAACGTGTTTGATATGGTGTTTCTCAAAATGCGTTTTCAAAAACGAGGTCAAATTTATAACAAAAAACTTCAAATGCATTTTTACGTTTTGAGTGTTTTCAATAAAAATACTGAAAACACTTAAAACATGAAAAATAAGTATGTTCTCTTTGTTGTTTTCAGACTATTTCCAATTTTCGAAAATATTGAAAACACGTTTAATTACTTATTTTCAAAAACAAATTTTCGAAAACGAGTTTAAAATTTACAAAGAAACTGAAAAAAGGCCAAAAAAGTCGTTTTGGCTGTTTTTTAGTTAAAATAAAGACAAAACTTCATTTTTTTATTTTTAAAAATAATTTTTCAAAATGACA